TTTCACTTAATTGGAAATTAAATTAAATTCATTTAATATAAATAATTTAACAATCATCGTCACGTATATATTCTTTGGTGTTAATTCTATATTAACTAACATTCATATTAATTCACGCGTTGTATTTGTCATTCATCTTCATTTATACATTTAGCCTCTGTTTAAATTACATTAAAATTTTCATTTTCATTCGTTTACTCATTTTTAACCACATATTTTTCAATAAAATAATATTTTTCATCGCATCATAATTTTTCCTTCTTTTTCAACCCACATTCTCCATCAATCTACTATTCCAAAATACATTCTTCCAAAAATAATGTGGCTCAAACACGTCCTTAATTGTAATTCTAATACTCACATGCAAGTATGAATTTCACTATTTACATGCATATATAATAATTAACATTTCTCTTATATTTTGATCAAATGAATAAATGGAGGGCCAAATATTATTTTCATAGTACTTATAAAACATTTCATAATAGTTTCCAACGCACATTCAACTCTGACTAATAAATATAAATACCAGACTCTTGAGAGATTCTAGCTTGACACCTAAATTTCAGATGATATCGGCCCCACAAATATAAAGTCAAATTATTTATACTTTTGACAAAAATAAAATAATTTAAACTAAGAGATAAAAAAATATGAAAATAAATAGTTATAAAATATTTGTTTTCGAAATTCAAAGTGGGAGAGAATAGGAAATGAAGAATTGAACTTCAATGCAAATTTACAAGGGATTTTTCCCTGACAAACTCCACTGACAAAACGAATTTTAGTGTAGATTTTGTGACCAAATAATTTCAATTTCAATTTCAATTTAAATTCTATCTTGTAAGCAAGATTTTAAAACAAAGGATAGACAATAATTCTTTAGTTTTATGTTATGTATGTGATAAAATGTAAGAGACCAAACAAAGTAATAAAATTTGACCTCAACAACAAGTGTCGCTATGTGAGTGGATGGTTAGAAAAGTAAATAATGGTGTGTCATCAATTGAGTGAACGATCATATCATGTATTTACAGGGCCTTCATTTTCCTCACCCAATTTACAAGACTAGAGCTAGATTCCCATGAAGAATTTCCAAAAATTAATTAAGAGATAGAATGTAAATCAATTCATCAATAAATAATTTACCCATCAACA